TTTTAGTACGGTGCGCCTTATGGTCGTGAAAATACTGTACTTGAAATACTGCTTGGATGCCATTTTCTAAAGGTATTGTGTTGTGCTTATGTTGGGCTTTGCATTAAACCTCTCCTTGCACATAGTATTAGGCTAATTTAGGTCAAATTCATCAAAAAATGTAAATTTGTACGCAAGTTTGTCTATGTTTTTTGGGGAAGAAGGTTTGGACTAATTACATTTTTTTTTTTCTTCTCAATTTTAGGTTATTTCCCTTCAGACGAAGAACAGGGGTCCACTAATAACGAAGCCATCTTTGCTGATAACTGAGGTAAATGTTAAATGTGGTTAGAAAGTTGGTGCATAAACACACTTTTCCTTTACCATTAGATGTATAGTTTTAGCGTAACTGTAGAAATACACAGATCTTCTAAATATTTTCTTTTTTCTATTTTACAGTTGGGGGGGGGGAAACAGAAGAAGGAAGGGGACCTCTTCGTTCATCAGATCCTAATTAGTTTACTTAAGAGCTTTATTTAACTCCTGTAAGCTAAACCCCTAAATGAACAATGTGTGACAGTACTGAAAAGTTGGGTTTGGAGGACATAAAGGAGGAACAGTGTACAGAGCCACGCCCAGAACCTCTGTACCTGATCGTTCCTCCACTGCCACCTTTCCTACTGGCCCCGGGTCAGCTCACCATGCCCTGGCCAAAATGGCTTAAAGCTTTTGAACACTACGCACAAGCGTTTGGTGAAAAAGAAATGGACACCAGTAAGCTGGTGCTCCTACAGAGCTTTCTGGGCCCAGAGGGACAACGCGTTTTCACAACTCTAATCGGGAGTCACACTACTTATGAGGCCGCCATTTCCGAGCTAACAAGTCATTTTGGCTCTGATGATGCCACTCAAGCACACCGCCTTAAGTTCCACCAAAGGGCTCAGATGCCAGGAGAGACTGTAGATGAGTTTGTCACGGTGCTGAAAAGTCTGCTGAGACCTTGTCAGTATGGAAAGAATAAGAACAACCTTCTGCTTAAACACCTGATTGAAAAAACAAACAATCTTCAGCTCAGAGAGACGCTACTGATGAGGAAGGACCGACTAACCTTAGCTAAGGCCTTGTCTATTGCTAAAGAGTTTGAATCTCATTCAGGTGAATCTCAGACGTTTGGTTTTCATGAAGTGAGTGTTGACATTGGGGAGGATTTAGAGCTCCCTGTTCAATATAAGCGCAGAAGAGGAAGACCTCGGCTCGGGGAGGACATTTTTAATCTAAAGGCACCTGTGATTGAAACTCAACAAAAGCGCAAAAGAGGAAGACCCCGGTGTGGGGAGAAAAAAGTGACACTAGAGACACTTGTGAGCGAGCCCCAGCAAAAGCCCAAAAGAGGAAGACCTCGGATTGGGGAGAAAAGGGTTAAATTAGAACCACTTGTGACTGAACTCCAACAAAAGCGAAAAAGAGGAAGACCCCGGCGCGGCGAGGAAAAGATTACAACAAAACCTCTTGAGACTGAACCCCAAAGCGAACCAGCTGAAATTGCAAATCAGAATGTCCATAGCAATGATAGGATGGACAATGGTGACTATGAAGGTGGATCTCAGGCCGCAGAGGGTAACACTGAGAATAATGATAATGGCCCCCCTTTACCTCAAATGATACAAGATGAAAGAAGCAACCAATCAAGCGACATCGCCGAAGAAAATGACGACAGCAGAGACGAAGATTTTGTACCTTTTTTGAGCAAACGAAAGGGACTTAGCTGTCCCATGTGTATCAACAGGTATTTCAAGAGTGTAGACAAGCTCAACAGACACATGAGGTCACACACGGGGGAGAAACCATTCAAGTGTTCGCTCTGCAATCTCACATTCAGTCAGTCTTACCACATGACCCGACACATGAAGAACCAGCATGCCGCAGGCCCATATGTGTGCCCCACATGCGGGTTAAGCTTGGAAAGCCTTCCAGAGTTATTTCAACACAAGAAGACGCACAAAGAGCAAATCCTGAATTGTACTGAATGTCATGAAGTATTCTTGAATAACGAAGAGCTTCGGGGCCACGTCAAGTCACACAAATGCTCACCTCCTCAACCAGTCACTCATAGCAATCAACAAACTCAGGTAGTTGAAGTGAAAACTGAAGCTTTGTCCGAAGGTTCCACGGACGCTTGTGAAGCTACTGACAGTCTTGGGTTGACAGAGAGTGTCGTCTCTGAAGAAACCTCTAAACAAGGTGAATTAAAGAAAACAAAAGATAACTCGTGTCCCATTTGTGTCGGGAGGCGCTTCAAAGGCCCAAACAAACTTGCTCGACACATGAGGACACACACAAAGGAAAAACCTTTTGGTTGCCCCGTCTGCAGTAAGAAGTTTAGCCAGTCCTATCACATGACACGTCATGTGAGAATTCAACACGGTCTTGGACAGTACATCTGCCCTCAGTGCGGTAAGAGCTTCACCACTTGGCTTGAACTAAAAGTACACAAAAGAAGCCACGCTCACATTGGTCTCACCTGTCTTTCCTGTAACAAGCAGTTTAAAGATAAGGGTGTGCTGGACAAGCACCTAAAGCTACACAAAGCTGTCGAGCCAGGCCCCCGAAGCCTCACCTGCGGCGACTGCGGCAAAGAGTTTGGCCGCCAGTATCATTTAAAGAGACACATCATGTCGCACCGCAAAGCCACCAATTCTGATCATTACACGTGCCCTGACTGCAAGAAAATCTTTTACTTTCCAGAAGATCTCAACAAACACCTTGAGGACCATGCAAAGGAAAGCAGCGGGACTTGTCCGAAATGCAATGAAAATTTTGGTAGCGCAGAAGAGCTGGAGACCCACATGCAGGTTCATCAGAAGTCTTTTCCCTGCAGCACTTGTGGGAAGAAGTTTAAAGTGGAGTACGCCCTGAAGAAGCATGAGGAGGGCCACCAACATGATCAGTATTTCTGTTCATTATGTCAGAAACACTTTATGAAACTGTCTCATTATAAGAGACACACGCAGGTCCACGACAGGCGAGAATCCAGATGTCCACACTGCGACGGCGTGTTTCTGAAGCTCACAGCTTTTAAATATCACCTGCGGACTCACACCTTGGAAAGACCCTACCAGTGCACTTGCTGCATCGAAACCTTTGAGCAGGAGGAGGAGTTGGAGCAGCACTGCCTTAAACATAGAAAGTTCAAGAGGGAGAGGCCTTATTCATGCACGCGTTGCGACCTTGCTTACTCCACCTTGATAGAGCTGACCGAACACATGATATCTCATGAGGGAGAACAGCCACAGACCTGTCCCTTCTGCGGGAAAACCTTTCTGAACAAGAACAAGCTGGAGCGACACGTCAGCATCCACACCGGCGAGAGGCCTCACCTGTGCTCCATCTGTGGAAACGGTTTCCCCTCCGCGGCCAGCCTTAAGCTGCACGTCTTCATCCACACAGGGGAGAAACCCTTCAAGTGCCTGCAGTGCAGCAAAAGCTTCAGCTCCTCCAGCGGCCTGCGTCTGCACAGCCGGCAGCACATGGACGAGCGACCAAGCTACGAGTGTCCCGAGTGCGGCAGGACATACGGCCGCCTGACGGAGCTGAAGATGCACCAGCGCTACCACACAGGAGACAAACCGTATGCGTGCACCTGCTGCAGCAAACGCTTCATTAGCAAGGACAAGCTCAACGTTCACATGAGGACACATACTGGAGAGAGGCCCTTTTCTTGCCCTCAGTGTGGACAAACCTTTACCCAAACTGGGGACAGAAACCGACACATCAGTAAATACCACCCAGTGAGCACCTGATAGAACTGGACAATGATCCTTCTAAACATTCAGCTTTGCATGCTTGTAGGTATACAATTAGAACTATAGCTAGTTTTACTGTATCATAATATTTTAGAAAATGCAAAAATCTACATGTACCGCCCGCATGTCTTCAGTAACCGCAGTATGTCTGTGCAGCTGATGTTAAACGCAATGACTGATGGATGTAGGCCCTGATTCTTGCTTTCCTCTTTTTCTGAAACAAGAAAATAGTCACATAAGTTACTAGTTCTGGACTGTTAAACACCACAAAACACTTAAAAGAAATCAGTATCATATTGGAACAATGTGTTATTTTTCAAACAAGATGCAAAGTTTGTCTAATGCTTTTAAGTTCTTATAGATTACACATAAAAGTGATGTCATGGTGCCTGCAATGTGAGAGCATAAAGAAATTCTTCATCCTGTATTCTCAAGACACATTTTTTACATTTTTAAAGACAAAGTCCTTTGTTACACGAAACTTCTAAAAAGTTTAAACACCGGTACCCACTTTGATTTACTCAGAATTTCATCATTATTGGTTTGTCTTGTATTTTCTTGGATGATGAATGCTTTTTTAATATTTCGGATTGAGAATATTATTCATTTGATTAATTTTTAAAACAATCAGCCTTTAGCCAAATATTGGCTAGTAAATTAAATGGGAAAAAAAATAATTACACGATAACTGTTAAAAGTTTGTAAAGGATAGGAAGATCATTTTATCTTCATGCGAATAGTTTTATTTAGGCCTAGTGATGATACATACAGAATTGCAGGGTGAAAGGTGCAATAGATAATAGTGATTCTAATGAGAAAATGTTTACTTTCAGTCATTAAAGATCTCTCCTTCGAAGACATGAAATTTGACTTGGACTTGTCGCTGATTTCTAGAGCGGGTCACAATAAAAAAAATCTTATTTTTCATGCAAAAGCTATGTATGTTTAATAGGTATGGCTTATCATGTGGCAGTTACTTAAACACTACATTGATCAAACTGGAAGGAACTGTAACTGGAGCCACTGAGTGGGTGATCGCTGAATACAAATTCAACTCATATTTCTTGTTTGTTTTTTTTTTCTGACATTTGATGCTATTGTTGCTTTCCTCAGTATTTTCATTTGCTTGTGGGATTTGTATGTTTTACTGTTTAACTCGTGCCATAGAAATAAAACTGTTAATTCACCCTACATGAATCTGTCTTCAGTTTCCAAAATAAGACGATTTGTTTGCCACTGAGACAAAATAACATTTCACTGTTTAGAAAACTGAAATTCACTAAAACGGGGTCATTTATTGAATAGGAAAAGACATTTTAATTACCAGATGTGTGAGTGGGAGCGGTGGCCTAGTAGTGGGCTGCCATCATAGGTTACCCTATCATAGGTTACCTTATGATGGCAGCCCACTGCTCGCCAAGGGGATGGGTTAAAGGCGGAGGTAAATTTCTCCAATGTGAGAGATGGTTTATCATCCGCTGTGCAGAGTTTTAGTGTCAACATACAAACTGTCCACATGTGGGCGTTGTGCTCATTGCTGTGGAACAAAGTATCACCTAATATTTGTCTTGACAATTTCTATTCGTAAAGTCATACACTAGTTATAATGTGTTTGTGCTTAAAATAATATATATGCTGAATTGTAAATTAATACAATTCATATATATATATATATATATATATATATATAGGATAAAACTAAATGTACAGAAAAGATAAGGATAAGGATTATACCTGAAATTACAATTATTTTCTGATAAATATATTTTATGGAAGTTTTCAAATACTGCCAGCCTGTTTTATTCATAAAATGCACCAGAGGGAGCCTTCTGTACAATTGTGTTCATTGCAATGACACGTTGTTTTCTAAAGCTAATGTAAAATCTATTTGAGCAGAACCAGTGTTGCTTGGTTATTAGTAAATTAGTAATTTTCACAGAAAATATTAAACTATAGTATAAATATAAACAAAATCAGCTGCGATTTGATGATAAATTAGACCAAGCAACTGATAGGATGATCTTCAAACAAAAGATACAGTGAAATGCTGTTCAGTATTATTAAAGACACATCTAAAAGGTTAAAATGACATTTAAAATTTACATTTAGGAAAAACAAAAAACAAAACCCACCACTATTTGGAAGATAATAAAAAATCTGTGGGATTTTCCAATTCTTATAGAGATGTTTCCTAGCTAGTGCTCTGCATGCTGCCATTTATAGATAGATACTTTATTAATCCCTATAGGGGAAAATCACCTGCCAGATAGCAAAGATAAAACATAAAATACGATAAAAAAGTACACAGATAATAACAAAATATCTGTATATATATATATATGTGTGTGTGTATATATATATATATATATATATATATATATATATATATATATATATATAATGTCTTGCTGCTAAGAGCGTGCTAAGAACAGTGAGCACTCAGTGGTGTATGATAGAGACAGTTTGGAGATGTAAAAGTTTGCCATCTAAGCTGTTTCAGTTAAATAAAGTCATAAAACCTTTTCACCTGCATGAGCTGCCCCCTACCCCACTGAAAGTAGTGAGAGTATCAGAGCCAGTTTGAGGCAGGTACCATGCAAAAGTATTTTCCTCACAAGCAGGTTACTATAAATGGTAAATGGCCTGTACTTACATAGCGCCTTTTCAAGTCAGGAGACTAGTGCTTTACACTATTTTCAGTCATTCACCCATTCACACACACACACTCACACACTGATGGTGGCAAGCTACATCAGGTAATAAAAAAATTAGAATAAGGTTAATGAACCAGAATTAAACAAAAAAATTTATAAATAAATAGGGTGATGGTTCATTGCTTGAAACAATAAGTGAACTAAAGATCCATTTGCTAGTCTGGAAACATCAGATTTAGCAGATAAAACCATGATCACATCTCTATATGACTTAAGCTAAAAGTGCAACAATCCATCAGTCTCAATTTCCATCTTTAAAATAAAGCTTAATAAAAAAAAAAGTAAAACAGTTCCCAGGGACCTATCATATTGGGTTTCCGTGCCTGTACATATTTATTCATCATACATTTTTTTAGTATTATGTTTTTACATCAGGGGCCCATGGTGGCTCCTGTGGAGAACCGTCTCCACAGTTGGTTGACATCATATAACAAAGTACCTGCACACCTTTTGCATATAAGTCACCATCTCTGTGTCTTAAAGTGTGTGCCTCTACAAGACTTGACGCGAGTGAGAAGGATAATACCTTTTTGAAATTCAAGCTGTCTCATATTTCTTCTTTTTTTGTGTTCAGTTTGAAAAGTACTTTATTAATCATATTAAATTCCAAAAAATAGTTTAAAAACAGAGGAGAATAGGAGAATAAATAATGAATTATCAGTAGGCTATATACAGGAGAATTATTAGCAATATTATTAGCATTACAATGGATAGAGGAAGTGAGACCATTAAGACAAATTATATGTTCAGATTCAAGTTCAGTTTGTAAATCAGTACACAAAATCATAGTTCGGAAAGTACATTTTAATTGAACCCATCCCCTTAAAATACAGCTAGTTTTATATCAAGTTCAGCTGATGGGTATTAGTGTTATATTTATTTGGGTGCCAGCACATATATGCACAAAATAAAACCATTGATAGGATGATTAAGTAAGACCGAAATTTAAAGTATCATTAAACAAAGGATGAAGGAAAGGTGGCAAAAACAATGGGAAGAAATGAAAGGAAGATGGTTTTATAGTATTCAGCAGAAAGTTGAAGAAATGAGGATAGCAGAAGGAAGCAGAAGAGAGGCAACAGTTATTTCAAGACTTGGATTTGGACATACAGGATAAAATAATACATTATTCAAAATAGGGGAACATATGTTGGGTAAGTGTGAATTTAGTGGACAAGAGGAAACAGTAGAACATGTAGTGATGTATTGTAAGAAGTATGAACAAGAAAGAAAGAATTAGAGACCTAAATAAGGAGAAAGATACATTTGATATGATAGATATTCTGCAAAAAAGGTTAAAAAAATATTATTCATATTTATTTAAATATTTAATAATAACAGGAAAAATGGGGGGAGGGGGGTTAGTATTTGTAAAGTAATATTATAGATAAATAAATATAAGTATCTTTCTGAATAGGGCCATTCTGATCCACACTCCTCACCAGTTGGTGGCGGTAATGAGCAACAACAGCATTAAACGCAACAACACAAGACCAGACCAGTAGGTGGCAGCACTCACATTAGTTTAGCAGGAAACGTTTGCTAGTACCACCGGAATAACAACATTAGCTTACACGGCTACGTGTTTTGCTTTGACGTTTAAGTCTAATAGGCGTTTATGTCAGTATTTTAACCCATCCTGTTAATGTGAATGGTTACAAAATAGTCACAGTTTTGTGTTGATGTAGAACTAATATCCGCTTGTTGACGTGAAACCTGTTGGTAAACGATGGCGGGTTAAGGCTTCAGGCTAACCTTCGATTTATCGTCGAAACTTCTAACAAATAACTATAAAGAAACAACCCTGCGTAAAGTGGTTGTAAAGTAACAAAGGATTTTAATAGGGAGAAGCTTAACTTTCTCTCGTCTAATGGCTGCTTTAGGATTTATTCCCGCCAGTGAAAAGGATGCTTTCAGTGTTAGGTCGGAGCCGATTTCTTCCAACAGAAGCTCCAAATTGAGCGGAGAAGAAGTCAGGAGGTTCTATGAGGACTTGATGAAAGATGACACAACTCGAGCAGAACGATCGAAAAGAGCAACAAACAAGAACAATCATGACAGGGGCTCCAACAGGAGAGCGCGGAGAGCCGCAGCTGAACGAGTCCAGCAGGAAAACACTGATTCTGTGGCACAAAGAGACAGAAGAAACCAAAGAGAAGCAGTCAATTCAGAGAGAGTTCAGGAGCTGATGGGACTGAGGCTCCTGCGCTGCGCTCATCAAGGGGATATTTCAGGACTAAAGGAGCTGATCTCAAAAGGAGTGGACATAAACTTTCAGGTACTTGCATTTCTTTAAGAACAAAATGGGAGGGGCGGCCTGGTGGCCATAGAGCTTGGGATCCTGAGGTTGTGAGTTCAAGCCCCACTCCCACAGACTGCCACTCTCGGTCCCTGAGCAAGACCCCTAACCCCACACTGCTCCCTGGGCGCCCCACAATGGCAGCCCCCTGCTCCCTAAAGGGGATGGGCTAAATGCAGAGTCAATCTCTCCATTGTAAAATTAATAAATTTCAATATATCATCTGATTGACTTTATTCAATTTTTTTTTTTTCATTTGTTCTTTCTTACAGGACACATATCTCTGGACAGCTGTGATGTGTGCCAGCTGGGCAGGGCAACAAGATGCTGTGAGGCTATTGCTGCGTCAGGGTGCAGCCTGGGTCGGAGTGGTCGATACAAGGGGTAGGGATGCCCAAGACCTGGCAAGAGAAGGTATATTCATGCTTCTATGCACACTACTCTGCTATCATATTAGTGAATTATGTTTATTGATGCTGGATATGTTTTCTGCTTCCTCAGCTGGTCATGAAGACGTCTTAAATGAGTTGTTAAACTATGGAAGAAGTCCACAGAGAGAGGCAACTACTGAGAGCAGGTTAGCAATTTTATGTAGAAGATAAATAATCCATTTGTAAAATAAGTTATAACAGGTATAGAAAATCTAACAAGTTCATATTCATCATCCTTTGTTCAAAAGTGACTATGCAGTTTAAGAGAAACCACTTTGTTTCAAGTGGTCTAGATGCATTTAGATAGGAGAAACAGATCAAATCTTTGTATTTTAGACAGATGAAATAGTATAGGGAGTGATGTACAAAAGCATTAATAAAACTATGGAAATTTGTTGGTGCTAGGGCTGCAACTACTAATTGTTTTGCAAATCAATTAATCTGACAATTATTTTTTCAAATAATTGATTAATAATCCAATAGCCAAATGTTGCTTAAAGAAGTTTTTTATTAAATTAAACTAGGTGAGACTAAAACTTTTCCACTTGAGGAGTTCTGGATACAGCATATTGACAAATGTTTTTTTCTTTTTATCTTAAATGCAAAAATGTTATATATTATTTTACATCCTGGTATAATTACTTCTCCAAGTAGGTTTCTCTGTCAACTAAAGGCCTGTTTTAGAGCCTCTATGCTCCAGTTAACGATTAATCAATTACTTAATTAGTTGACGTTTATTTCAATAATCAATTAATCACAATTAATCAGATTATTCGTTTGAGCCCTAGTTGGGACTTTTGGCATCAAAAGATATTCACAATACTGGAACTTTGTGAAATTTAATATAAAGACTTAATTTCATTTTATTGAGATTTAATGTAAACATAAAATTGTAAAGTCAAAAGGTTTTTGCTTTTTTAAATATTAATTTCATATTTACACATGTCAGCGGTATGATGGGACCTTATCTTAAAGTTTGTCCCCCCTTGCAAATCCAGTAAAACAAAAGTCTTTTTAAGTCTGAATATTATAATCTGGTAAATTCTCCAAAGTGAGAACAGCATGTCCTAGACATCAGAGAAAAAGGTCAGTCAATCTGAAGTGCTTCCTTTTAAAAGCCTTTTTAACATTTGTGAAGAATAAATGGAACTTGGTATGGAACTGAATGCCTTTCAATAGTCACCTTTCCATTGCAAAACTATGTTGACTTTCTTCTAATTTCAACAATACCAATTTGTGCAATTGTGCTATTTCCATTAAATAAGAAATTGAATTAAAACTGCACATTAATACGTTTGTTGATGCGATAACGCTTAAAAGCAACATGCCAGCAGCAGATATAAACACTTATATGAAAGCATATGTCCATATATCAGTTTTAGTGCTCATCGTTGCTATCTACATGTAAAAAATACTAAGCGTCTTCATGAATCCAACTATGCAGCGCCATCATGCTCCAATTACTTCCTGTCTTCTTCTTTGTCCTTTTACTAGGCATTAAGGTCTAGTTTCAGATCATGTGAGTCGTGTGATGAGGGAATAGGGTTTCCATTGCAGTTTTGCGAAATATAGGAATTTCAGTCTGACTGAAAAGCCACCTCATCACAGTGTAAAAACCTTTTGTCTTAAAGCGCTGTTTTTTTTTTGAAATAGCAGTGTTTCCATTTTGTAGATATATCTTTATTACATTTTGCGCAATTTGACGGTTAATGGAAATGCAGCTAGTCTGTTTATTGGGTTATTTTTAAGTTGACTACTGTTATAAAATAAAGATTTGAAGACTTTATTTCCTCAGTAAGTCAAATTTCTTAGGGGAGCACACTTCCCAGATTGATTACACACAGACTGCTCTTTTCAAGCCTTAATTATGATAAATTAGTTCATTAAAACAGTTTATTTGCAACAAGTACAACGTGAAGCAAAACGTACCCAAACCAAAGAAGTTAGTTTTTGGTCTGGAGCACACTAGCCATCTGTTTTCTAAATACACTCAAAATATAAATATAGCTCAGTCAACATACAGTATTTTGAAAAACAAGATACACTCTTGACAGGCGAGAAAGTTTAAAGCAGGCTTATGTAGAAAAAATAAATAAATCCAAATCTCTGAACATCTAGAGAGCTTTTAAAAATCTTCTTGTGAAAAAACAGAAAGGAAAAAAAAAAAATTCAAAACCTGCTTCCAAACTTAGGCTACAGTTTAAAGGATCATTACCCCCCAAAAATGAATGATAACATGAAATTAGTTTGATTAAAAGAATATGAACAACTTTTTGACCGCTACCTCATGGATTTAGCACAAGTAATTCTGATAAAGTTTCAAGGGAATGCCTTTATATATAGACTGCACTTTTAAACAACATATACAGCCTAAAATGTAACCTCAGGTTTATCCATGTAGTTGTAGTGTCTAAAACTTCCCAAAACAAATGACCTGCAGAAGTTATTCCCTTCCTCTTTATGAGATACATTCCTATTGATAGCAGTTAAACAGATTGCACTCTCCATTTTTTAACCAGGAAAACACCAATAATATGCAGTTAAAGACACCAGTCCAATCCTGCAAGAGTTTTACTTTTGGATGCATCTATTTTCCAAAACATCTAATGGCTATATTCCCTCAGCATCATGAGAATCAGCTCTACAGAGGCTTAGTTTGAGCTGTAGCATAGCATCTCTTTAAAACTAAAGTTCATACCACTGGTATATTTTCAATGCTTTTGCAAAGCCATATCACTCTGATGGAGTTAGTCAGTTTTACAATGAACCCCATAGTGTTTGGTTCAGTTAATGTAGAAAGTCATGTATTTCTGACATGTCTGTTCCATCATGCTTTCTTGATGTCCTCAGCTTGCACCAGCCTCAATGGTGCGATATATGCCGCTGTGAGTTCCGAACCAGCCACTCGTCGCATCTTTCTTCCACTCTGCATCAGTTCAGTGAGCATCACCCTCAGCCCTCGCCCTATTACTGCCTCCCTCCATCCAGCAACAGCTACAAGATGATGGTTCGCTGCGGCTGGAAACCAGGCACTGGTCTCGGGCCAGAGGCCGATGGGCCTAAACAGCCGGTATCGACTGTGTTAAAGAGAGACCATAAAGGTCTGGGATTCGGACCCGTCAAAAGAGCTAAGGTTACTCATTTCAAAGCAGGGGATCAGAGTGCTGTAAAACACCGACCTCAAGACAGAGAAGAGAGGGGGAGGAAAGGGCAGAAGAAAGATGAGACCAAGAGAAGAGAGCAGAAAGATAGAAACTGGGAAAGAGATTTTCGTGCCTCATTTTATCAATAGCACCTGATTTCTGTTCTGTTTTTGACTTTACCTCAGAGTTGGCACACAGATGTTTTTGGATGAACTTTTCTTGTGAGTATATGTTGTGCAATGGTTCACCAACTGTGTCAAATGTTATTTATCACATTTCTACGTTCATGTCTACTGTCTACTCTACTTTGACTTACTAAAACCCGGTCAAAAATCAGCAGTTTGTTTCTACAACTGTTTTTTTAAATATACCAAAATGAAAACAAATAAAATTCTTAATATAAAACAACATGGCTAATATATTTTATTATAATTAGGTATTGATACATTTCTAATATTTTTTTTTTGTTTTATTTCTTTAAATGCTTGTAAGCAAAATCAGGTGAACCACTCTTATGGAGGAACATTCTGGTCATCATGCATGAAAACGTGAGTAAAATGTGTGGTTACATTTTAAGAAGTGTAAATTGTATTTAACTGCAAATGGAAACTAAAGCCAGAAAGGAGTGGAGAAAAACAGGAAATCATCATTTAAAGGGATACAAAAAAACAGAAAATATTAACTTTGTCTTGCAAGGAGAAATTCCAGTCTTCCAGCAGCAATAAAAACAATCAAAATTTATATTATCCCTTCAGTTTATGCCAGATAATGTGCATTAATCCCTCTCATATTGACCCCTTATGGAGTCCTGCAAATTTGAAATAAAAATTATAAGAAAGAAAAGAACACACAGTCTGACCTAATGAGAATTGTACAACATGTTAATGAATTATTAAACCAGGATTATTCTTTTTGGATCTAAAGGTTATAGGCAGTTTATCAAATTACCCAAACTCTCACCCAGGCAGTGAGTTATTCCTTTTATCTGAACACTACTTAACTTCTCACCTAACACACCTAAACACGTGACTGTCACAAGTTAGTTCCTTACTGCTTCGTCAGCCTGGCCCTTTGACACACTTGTAATGTGATCCTAAACCCTTATTGTTGCTCTCTCAAAACCTGATCACCTACTTTTTTGCTTTTAAATTCAGTATGTATCTAAGTTATGGAAAAAAGATCAACTTAATACACAAGTGCTGTCTTTTTTTTTTTTTTTTATTTTGACATATTCTGTAACAGGAAGTTCTGCCATATAACATTTTATCAAGCAAGTAGAGGACTGAAAATTAAGAATTTTTAAAGATGAGGCATATTTTTCCAAGGCATTCTATATTGTTAAATATTTACATGGAAGTACACCAGACTGGAGCTGAAAGTAAATTACATTTAGAAAAACAATATTTAGTATATGAGACAATTAGCCAAAACAACCAGACTTAAAACTTTATTTGCTGAGGGATATCTTGAAGTTGGGAAATTTGTTCCCTTTTAAAAAGTGTAAATGAGGTTAAAAAAAAAAGAAAAGAAAACAACAAACAATCCCTCAAAACTATACATTACCTATCAATATTTCTCAGAACAACACAGCGAAATATTTAATTTATATGGACCCTCTAGTTTTGATTTTTTTTATATTTTTTTTGTGAATTTTTGTCCCAAATCTTTTAGAATGTATAATTATCTGCCTTTCAAATCATAATAGTTACTTCATGGTGGCTACATAAACATTGAAAATGTAGAAATATTTAGTTGATTCATTCTATTATTTGAATACATTTCTCCTTTTAGCAAAGCAGTGCTTGATATTAGTGACAACTAGCTAGTGTTAAGGGTTTAACTTGTAGATTTTAAATTTCTGCTGGCAATGAATGTTGAATGATGATCAATTAGTTGTTATCTATAGTGCATGTCACTCACAGCAAAGTGATCAAAATCCTTC